TGTCCACAGCCTCGTCCCCGGGCAGGGTGACGGGGTCTGGGCTGTGGCGGGGGTTCCTGATACAAGTAGTAGCAGCCGCTTGTACACATCGTGCCTTCAGTCGAGTGCCTTTTTGTAAGTCCTCAACTTCTGCTCTGTTGAAGAGGAAACCAAGCTTCCCTCTCCCGAAACATCGTCCTGAAGCCCTCGCCCGGGGCAGACGGGGCGCAGGTGGGTGACTCGAGTGCTGAAGGTGTGTTCGCACAGGGGAGGGCCAGGCGCAGAAGTTGCATTGCCGGTGCAGCACCCTCTTCGTACGGACCACGCAAACGGGGTCCCAGTCGTGCACGGACGCCAGCCGAGGCTCGCTGGCCTGCAGAAGGGAAGGAACAAACCCCTGAGGCTGCCGCGGGACGCTCCTCTGACCGAGGAGCCGAAGCTGGGGTTGCCCATGTACCAAACAAACGGTCGCTTTGTGCACAGCGAGTTCCTGCAATACCGTGACGCCCAAGCCTGCCAAGTACATACCATAGTTCAGACTTTATGCATTAATAAAACGCCGGAGGTAGGTGTTGCACGGAGCTCATGATGTGCTGCAGTCACCGCGGGTGCTGGCCGCACCGCTGGCCGTGTCCGGCCACGCTGGCTGCTGCCCTCGGCGCTGGCTGCAGCAGCGCCTGTTGTCGTGGTTTAGCCCCCGTCGGAAACAGCACCACCGGGCCGCTCGCTCGCCCTCCCGCCCCCGGAGGGGTGGGATGGGGGAGGGAACCGGAAAAAAAAAGTAAAACCTGTGGCTTGAGATAACGACAGTTTAGTAGGACAGCAGAGGAAGAGAAAATAATAATAGTAATAATGAGAAAAGACTGTACAAAACAAGTGACGCACAATGCAGTTGCTCACCACCCGCTGAGCGATGCCCAGCCCGTCCCCGAGCGGCCATCGCTGCCCCCCGGCCAGCTCCCCCAGTTCATATACTGGGCATGACGCCATAGGGTATGGAACAGCCCTTTGGCCAGCGTGGGCCAGCTGTGCCCTGGCTGTGCCCCCTCCCAGCTTCTTGTGCACCAGGCAGAGCAGGGGAAGCTGAAGAGCCCTTGACCGGTATAAACACTCCTTGGCAACAACTGAAACATCAGTGTGTTATCGACATTATTCTCATCCTAAATCCAAACCACAGCACTCTACCAGCTACTAAGAAGAAAATTAACTCTGTCGCAGCCGGGACCGGGACAGCCGCGCACCCCGGGTGCTGCAGCCCTGCCTGCCTGGGCGGCTGCTGCCCTCGTGGCTGCAGCAATGCAAACTCAGTCACGGGGACCTGCTCCGGTTACGGTCCCTCTACTAACAGATGTAAACTACCGCTGCCACAAATCAGTTCCTGCACTTCTTAATCTTAAACGAACACCGTAACTTTCCTTTAGACCCTGGGAATTTGCTGCGCTCACAGATGGGAATGACACGAATTTTTGCGCTTTTGTTGGGAAGGAGGGTACCTGCAGCAGGCTGGGTGCAGCTGGCTCCCCAAGCACGGCCGGGGGCCGGCCGCAGGGCAGCCTCCTCTGGGAGCCGTTCTCATGAGCTGGAAAACCTTGTTAAGGCTGGGTGGAGCCTTCAGGAAGGCGGATTTTTACTTTTTGGAGTATGCTTGGGGACGGTCCTCCTGTACGGGCCGTTCAGGGTCAACAATGTTTGTGACTCACCTTTGCGTCATTTATCCCCCGATGGGAGGGCGCGGGACCAGCGACGGCACCGTGCGAGCACACGCGTGTCCCACCCGCCGCAGGGAAGGCGAGGGTCCCACGCGGCTCGGGGGGCTGCAGCCGCCGCCGCCGAGGCCTTTTCGGCGCGGAGCTCTCCGGACCGCTGGCCTCTGGCCCATCAGTGCCGCCCCGTTGCCTTGCGTCTGGCGTTGGAGGGCTCTGCTGTCTCCTTAAATTTACCGGCTTTTGGGGTTTTAAGCGCTGCTTTTCGCAGGGAGCGCAGCCTGCGAGTGAGCGGCCGTGCACAACGCCCAGCCGCGCCGAGCCTCGGGGCCGCCTCTCAGGCAGAGCGATGCGGAGACGAGGGGCGAGGGGCTCTTCCTCGCCAGTACTCCGGGGCAGAGCGGCGGCTCTTTCTAATTAAATGTGTTCTTTGTGCTCGCCTATTTAGATACCAAAATACAGCATTTCCCCACATGTATAAAATTGTGTTTGCATTTATTTAATTTAGAGTTCTTTTTTAAAAGCATGTAGTCTTGAATGTTTGTTCTCCCTTTTTTTTCACATCATTACTCTGATACTGCTTGATTAGCTCCCTCCCCAGTCATGATTGGTAATTAAAATAGGCATTAAAATTAGTCACTTAGCAATTTTGCTGTTCAATTGGCAATTAAATTACTTAATTGCAATTAAAGTCCTAATTTTAATTGGCAAAATGATAGATGTAGATTTAAGATAATATGTATAAATACTTTAATAAGTGTCTATATAAGGATTACTTAATTACTCAACTTCAAGTTTATGCTGTTAACTTTAGAACTTTTAAGTGAGTAATGAAATTTATATTACATCTATTCTAAGGGTATGGTAATTAGATGTATTACTTATCCCTATAAGGGCCTTCGCAGCAAGTTTCTCCCGTGCTGTTGGAACTGCAGCCCGGCCGCCCCGTTGTGCCGTGCCCGACGCCGGCCCTGGCGCGGCAGCTCGGCGGCGGGGGGCCCGGGCGCCGAGGGGACGCGGGGCGGCCGAGCTGCTCCTGCGCCCGTCGGGTGCGCGCCGTCGGCCGAAGCCAAAGCAGCGCATCCTCCGCTGGCCGTCCAGCAAGAAGGTGTTTGCAACGGTCCTGGCAGATCAGAGGCATCTTACGGCCTGCTACGGTTCCTCCGCTGATTTTATCATCTCGTCTCCCCTTGGACAAATCTCAGTAGTAACTCTGTAGTAGCAAGGGAATATAACCACGACGTGGAAATGATCTTTCTGCATGCGAGCGAGCCAGACGGTGGGAGGCAGTTTGTCTTGGGTGTTTGGGTTTTTACAGAGCGTAAGCTTAAAGGGAAAAGCGTTTTCAACGTGAGAGCGATGAGTGACTGACAGCAAGAGGAGCGTATGAGGAAGGAATGATGGCAGCCTCACATAAACCATTCGTATTTAAGTGCTTCATGGGCTTTTTATGTAAGACAAGGATTTTGTGTCGAGAATGTTGGCTTTTTCGGTTCAGGTGGCACGGCGCTGGGTGCCTCGGCTTTTATTCCGTCGCGCTGCACAGAACGGTCCTCAGAGTCCCAGGTGCAGGATCCCGTCCCAGCCTTCATGACCCTGCGCGCTCCGGCCTGCTGACCCTCGGAGGAAAAGCACCCGGGAGCAGAGGTGCCAGGCCTCGCGCGTGAGAGCCGCTGCCGCCGGACCTGGCCGCGGGAAGGGAGGCCGTGCCGTTACCTGACCTCGGCCTTTCTTTTCGCAGGCCAGGCCGCAGCAGAGGGGCCCGGGGTCGCCGTCCGGAGCCGCCTCCCGGAGCCCACCATGGAGAGGCGGAGTGCTCCCCTCCCTCCACGGCCTCTTCGGAAGGTCCAGAACCCCGCCGAAGCCCCGCGCGCCATCGCGGCCCATGCCGGCCGGACCTCCAAAGTTAAGATTCCTGATAGGTTTTTAACAAGTGCAGTGCGCTTAATTACACCAAACCATTTCTGCTTTGCACCCTGCCCCCCACCGCTTTCCCCAGCCCACCCTGACCCGAACTTGTGCTATTAGTGATGCAAGCCGGAGGGGCTGCGCGCGCGCAGCGCTGGGGGGGGGGATAAATAGAATAAAACCCGCTTCGATGTTGCGTGGGAGATGGAAACGAGCGCGTTCGCGCGGCTCGGGAGAACCGGAGGCGATGAACGCAGGGCGGCGCGGCGTGGATGCGCGGCTCTGGGCTCCCGTCGGCTTCCCAGAAGACGGGGCTTCCCCCCACCCAAAACCCGCGAGGTGGGGGGGCGGCGCGGAGCGGCGCGGAGGGAGCGCGGTTGCGCGGCCGAGTCTACATGACCCTGTTTCGTTTCCAGCCATGCCCTGTGTTCAGGCTCAGTATGGGTCCTCGCCGCAAGGAGCCAGCCCGGCCTCCCAGAGCTACAGTTACCACTCTTCGGGAGAATACAGCTCCGATTTCTTAACTCCGGAGTTTGTCAAGTTTAGCATGGACCTCACCAACACTGAAATCACTGCCACCACTTCTCTCCCCAGCTTCAGTACCTTTATGGACAACTACAACACAAGCTACGACGTGAAGCCACCTTGCTTGTACCAAATGCCCCTCTCCGGACAGCAGTCCTCCATTAAGGTGGAAGACATTCAGATGCACGGCTACCAGCAGCACGGCCACCTCCCCCCCCAGTCCGAGGAGATGATGTCCCACTCAGGCTCCGTGTACTACAAGCCCTCGTCGCCCCCGACCCCCTCCACGCCCGGCTTCCAGGTGCAGCACGGCCCCATGTGGGACGACCCCGGCTCCCTGCACAACTTCCACCCCAACTACGTGGCCACCACGCACATGATCGAGCAGCGCAAAACGCCCGTCTCCCGCCTCTCCCTCTTCTCCTTCAAGCAGTCGCCCCCCGGCACCCCCGTCTCCAGCTGCCAGATGCGCTTCGACGGGCCCCTCCACGTCCCCATGAACCCCGAGCCGGCCGGGGCCCACCACACCGTGGACGGCCAGGCCTTCGCCGTCCCCAACCCCATCCGCAAGCAGCCCTCCATGGCCTTCCCCGGGCTGCAGCTGGGCCACGCTCCCCAGCTGCTGGACAGCCAGGTGCCCTCGCCGCCCTCCCGGGGGTCCCCCTCCAACGAGGGGCTCTGCGCCGTCTGCGGGGACAACGCTGCCTGCCAGCACTACGGCGTCCGCACCTGCGAGGGCTGCAAGGGCTTCTTCAAGGTGAGCGGGCGGCGGGCAGGGCGGCGGGGGGACCCGGCGGGGCGAGGAGCCGCTTTCCCCTTCAGATGGAAATTGGTTAGGACAGAGAACCGTGTCTGAGCTAACCAAGTGGAACAGAATTCCCTCTGGTAAAATTAAGTGATCTCTTTATTTCACCATCCTGATTGAATAATCTTATCATTTTAAATAGAGGAGGTCTCCAAGGAATGTAAATAATATGAATGCCCACGGATTTGTATTTACCCAGCGTCTCCTTCCCTCCTCTTGGCATATAAAACACATCTCGGAGCTGCGGGGTTAGCTCAAATGTTAACGCTATCAATTTTCTCCTGTTAAATGCCCTGGAAAAAAAAAAAAAAAAAAAAAGCAAAGAAAAAGGGAAAAGGGGAGAAAGGGAAGGGCCGGGAGGCGGGGAGCGGGCCGGGCCCCAGGACCGCCGCTGATGGGCCGCCCCGTC